ACAGGCACCATTGTCCCTTTTCTAAACCCTACCGCTACAGAGCCGGCAAGCTGGTGCCCTATCTGAGACCCCATCAACCTGGCCAACACCAGCCATGCTTGGAGATCCCCTGAGACTCCACCCCTAACTTCTGAGCCCACCCAAGCTGCTTTTCCATAGGAATGGCTGGTCTTGGCTCATGCTTCACAATTTCCTAAGTCCTCTCAAACAAGCAACAGCTGGCCTCTGTGAGCTCCAGGCCCAGCACTAGCAGCAGCCAGCCTAGAGTCACAGCTTGGCTTTACCTGGGAGTCTCCAAGCCCAGCACAAGTAGCAGCCATCTCAGATTGCTTTATAGTTCAGTCAGGGTGGCCCCAGGCAAAACACAGGTGGGGTCTAACCTAGGCCTGCACCACCTGGGAAACCCCAGCGCCTGTGCACCCAGGGGATAGCTACAGACCACAATGGAGCACCACCACCCTGCCCCTACACAGCTGATCCTCCACGGAGAGTGGAGGTTGGTGGTAAGTGGTCATAGCCAGTCCTGGTAGCTGACTGGCCTGGATAAATCCTTCCCATTAATCTGCCAACAGCAACCAAGGCTCAACTACAAGAGGAGGGTGTAGCCCACACGGCCCACACAGAAGGAGAACCTTTAGTCCTCAGCTTGGGTGATAGGGATGGCTGTGCCACCAGCCCCTTCAGGATACGTACTGTGTTAGGCCACACTACCAAGACACAGAATCAAAAGCAGCTTTACCTAATACATAAAAACACACACAGGGAGTCTGCCAAAATGAGGAGACAAAGAAACATGGCCCAAATGAGAAAAAGAGATCCAAACTCCAGAAAAAAAGCTAAACGAAATGAAGATAAGCAATCAGATGCAGAATTCAAAACACATCCATATATAAGGATGCTCAGTGAAATAGTGAGGATCTCAACAGCATAAAAAAGATCGAGTCAGAAACAAAGGATACACTAATTGAAATAAAGAACAGTTTACAGGGAAACAACAGTAGAGTGGATGAAGCTGAGAATCAAATCAATGATTTGGAACATAAGGAAGCAAAAACAATCAGAACAACAAGAAGAGGCTGCACCTGTGTCATACCCCCTGCGTAGGGCACGTGGCCCAGCCCGGATGCCCGCCCCTCGCAGCGCAGAACCGAAGGGCATGGCAAGCCAGGTGATCAGGTGCGAGGCTGCAGTTGCCCTACTCTAGGGGGTAATGTTTTCTGTATAATTAATATATCTCCAATCAGGGATAAGGTTGACACCATCATAAATCTGTTTTTTGAACTATCCTTCACATGAGTAATTGCTAGTTCATTAAGGATTTTTTTTAACATAATAACAGTAATTCCTGCATTGAAAAAGAAATAAAAAGAAGAAGAAAAAGGAATCCAAAAAAATGGGGACAGTGTAAACAGCCTCTGGGACAAGTTCCAGAGGTCCAACATTTGCATTTTAGGAGTGCCAGAAGGAGAAGAGGAAGAGCAAGAAATTGGAAATCAATATGAAAAATAATGAAAGGAAACTTCCCTAATTTGGTGAAGGAATAGACATGCAAGGCCAAGAAGCACAGAGAGTCCCAAACAAGATGGATGCAAAAAGGCCCACTCTGAGACACATCTTAATTAAAATGCCAAAGGTTAAAGATAAAGAGAGTCTTACAAGCAGCAAGAAAAAAGAAGTCAGTTACCTACCGGGGAGTTCCCAGAAGACTGTTAGCTGATTTCTCTCAAGAAATTTTGCACACCAGAAAGGATTGACAAGAAATATTCAAAGTCATGAAAAACAGGGGCTATAGCCAAGATTGCTCTACCAGGCAAAGCCATCATTTAGAATCAAAGGGCAGATAAAGACCTTCCAGACAAGAAAAAACTGAAGGAGTTCATCAAACCATTATTATATGAAATATTAAAGGGACTTATTTAAGAAAAAGACGATCAAAACTGTGATCAGTAAAATGGCAACAAATACATTATCTATCAACAGTTGAATGTAAAAGACAAACTAAGTAAACAAAAACAGACAAAATCATGGATATGGAGAGCGTTTTGATGGTTGCCAGATGGGAGGGCGATGTGGGGGAATGGGTAAAGAGTTGTAGGGATTAAGAAGTACAAACAGGTAGTTACAGAATAGCCAGAGAGATGTAAAGTACAGTATAGGAAATGAATTAGCCAGAAAACTTATACTCATGACCCATTGACATGAACAATGGTGAGGAGATTGCCTGAGGGAATGCGGGGGGTACTGGGTAGAGGGGGGCAAGAGGGGAAAAATCAGGACAACAGTAATAACATAATGAATAAATTATAATTAAAAAAATATATACTCTCAAACTTTTTATTACATCCAAGATAATTAACCATAAGTTTGAACTTCATATATCTCCAAATAAGATCCATAGGTTACATTTGGCTGCTGTATCCCTTAAGTCTCTTAATTTATAGGATCTTTCTCAGGATGCCTCTCCCTTTTTTTCCTTTGAAGTCTATTTATGGAAGAAAATTTCTGTAGATTTTTTCACAGTCTGGAGCTTGCTAATTGCACCCCATGGTTTTTGTATCAAAGTTCCTCTGCCCTCTATTTTTCCTCCAAATTCGCAATTAGTGTTAGAGCAATAATTCTTGAAGTGAGGTTCCAGGATCAGAAACATCAGCATCAACCTGGAAATTTGACAGAAATACAAATTCTTGTTTAGCCTCATTCCAGGCCTGTTGAATCAGAGACTCAGGATGGTTTCCCGCAATGTGTTTTAACTAGTTTTCCAGAAGATTCTGATATACCCTAAAGTTTGAGAACCATTGCTGTACACACTTAGTCAGATTCAGGTTTGTCTCCCCGTTTTCCCTCCACCAGCTATTTTGTAGCTGTTGATGTGTTTTCCATTAGAAGCCACGTGTAGCTGACCGGTCTCATTTATGAGGCTGATAATCATGTCATTACTGCCTAGACTATGTCCATTAATTCACTGGGATTACAAATGGCATTGTTCTATCATTCCTTTCTTAAGCATAAGCTGGAATACTTCTGGAAAAATAAAAATCCCCCTCATTAACTCTTAGGTTACCTGTGGTATAGTTTATTCAGGAAAAGCAGGATAAATGCTTGAGTCTTTTATTTACCTGTTTTCAAAATAATAAGTTGGTTCTCTAGCATCCTCCAAAAATGACCAATGAAGTCTAAGAAAAAAAATCAGTATAAACTCAAGGATTTAACTTTTTTTGTTTTAGTCTATTGCCTTTTTGTTCTTACTTGATGTTCATGTTATCCCATTTTTGTGTAGTAAGAACCTCTTCAAGTTTCCACCTAACTCCCTTGAGAGGTGATTTTTTTGTGCATCCTTGATTTCTGGTAGGTTTTTCAGTCTTGTTACATTTTTAGTTCCAGACTGGGGATTAGTAATTTCTTCAAGGAGCCCTGTTTCCCTTTAGGCAAAAATAGTAGAGACCACGATCTGGATGGTAGGGATGCTCATTGGTACTGGACTTAGTCATAGTTTTCACTTAAATTCATGACTATAGTGTTTTTACTCAATTTAATGTGTATCCTTTCTCTAATGCCAGAAAGTCCCAGTATTTAATAACAAAATTACTCTCTTGCTCTATCCGGCATGGCTCAGTTGGTTGAGAGTTGTCTTGCGCAGTGAAAGGTCGTCAGTTTGATTCCCAGTCGGCACCTGCCTGGGTTCGGAGGCATCCCTGGTTGGAGAGGGTGTGAGAGGCAACTGATCAATGTTTCTCTCATACACTGGTGTTTCTCTCCCTCTCTTTCTCCTTTCCTTACCCTCTCTCTAAAATTTAATGAGTAAAATCTTTTTTTAAAAGTTGCTCTCTTTCTTCATCTCATCATACACACATAACAGCCTCAGAATCTAAAGACTAACAGTATGATTCCTGAAAACTAAGATTTTCTTGAGTTCTTGTTATCTTTAGGATGTACCCCATGAGGATGTCCAGTCAAGTTACTTTAAATAGTTCTTTGTATGCTTTTCCTCCCAATTTAATATATGGAATACAGTTGGTTGGTTTGTATTTTGGGGATTACTTTCTCAAATTTAATTGTATAATTATGTAAGATATTCATATGGTTCCAAAGTCAAATGTATGAAATAAGGTTTATTCAAAGAAGTCTGACTTCTACCCTTGTAGCCTCCTCTCTGCTAGTTTTGGATTTATTTTGCTCTTTTTTCTACTTCCTTAAGTTGTCCAATGAGGTTATTAATTTGAGATCTTTCCTCTTAAATGTAGGCATTTGCAGTTGTAAATTCCCTCTTACCATTGCTTTCAGGGAATCCCATAAATTTTGGTATATTGTGTTTTTGTTTTCATTTGTCTCGATGTTTTCTAACTGCCCTTCTGATTTACACCTGTACATTTAAATTAATATCATTTTGGTTGGTTATTGGTAGTGATTTAAAATGTTTTTTTCAGCATTTTAGATGTATAGCAAGAGAATATACCTTGCATTATAGTTTTTAAATTTGTGACTGTTTTTTCCTCTAGAAGTTCAAGTTTTTGCCTTTTATTCTTTTCAAGTCTCCCTGGTCATTTTTTGTTGTATCTTATTCTTTATCCTTTTGATTCCTTTTATGTCTTTAATTGTTTTAAACATACTCTTCTTATTTTATAATAGTTCTGTAATCTTGATATCTAACCCTTTGTTTTAGGTATCCTCTGATAGCACCCATGGTCAATTGTTTCAATATGTGTTGTATAATTTTAGATTGTATGCTAATGTTTAGAGGGGCCTTAATTATGGAGACCCATGGGGACCTGCCTGAGTTGAGGGCTTAGCTGGTGTACATTTCATCTGTCTACCAGAGTGACGGGCACTGGTGTTTCAAATGATCAGAGGAACCTCTCCCATATCCCTCAAGCTAGAATTGACCCATCACTTGGTATTAAAGTGCTTAGTTCTATTGCCAAAGATCTTAGCAAAAAGAGAGGATAAAAATGGGGCCATATGACATTATGATGACTAAATGTTGTTTATTTTTTCTTTTGCAGTTCCAATTCCTAGTAGATTTGATCGGCGAGTATCAGGTATGTGTTCTCTTTCAAAACATACTGTGAAAATGCTATTTTAAGATAGGATCATCTTAAATAAAAACAAACTGATCTTTTTAATAAAAAGTTAGCAGCATTCAGAACATTATAAAAATTACCTGGTTCCTTTATTCTGTTTCATTTTAAGTTCTGAGTATATAGGTATATATTTTTATATTGCTATAATTATTTAATTATTACATCATTAATATTTTTCCATGTTTATAATTGTGGCTTCAGAAAACTACATTTAATATTACTATTTCCGGTTTTTAGATTATGCTGCCATTAACTTCTTGCATACATTTCTGAGCCACTTAAATTATTTCCTCAGTTATAGTGTTAGGAGTGGCATTCCCTGGTCAGTGACTAAGCATTGCATTGGCTTTTTCTGTGAACTGCTTTCTAGAGACAATCTATAGCATAGGCTACAGGGAGAAAGATACCCTGCAAAGGCCCCTTCTCCAAAACTTTCTCACTAACGTGTATGGTGCCTGCTCCTTTAAAGATTTTATATATTTATTGACTACTCCTTTAGTTTAGATATAAAATAGTACCTCACATTGTTTTTATTTGGCATTCCTTTGATAATTAATAAAAATGAGTGTTTTCCAAACATGGGAAATCCTTTTTTATCTTTTACTATGGAACCAGTTTGGTAGTACTTGACCCTTTTATCTATTATCGTCTAGACTATTTTTGTAAGTTTAAGTAAATTTCTGTCATGATTTTTAACCTTTTGAAATTTTTAATGCAAAGTTTTCTACGTTGGCTGAGCTATTTATTTTAATTTTGCTATTTTTTCATTTGCTTAAAATTTCTGTTATGTAACTGGTACCTTGTACACTGCTTGGCACATAGCAGGCACTCAGCAGTATTTGTTGAATATATACATCCTCTCCTATTTTTTTATGATCGCGCCTAAGCTGAGAAGGTCCCCCTCTTTTCACAGAGCTGATGAGTATATTTTTTGAAAGCTTTTCATGTAATTAAAATATTCGACATTTGGATACATACAGAGTTTGTTTGTTTTTAAAGAGAAGACTTTTATGAGCAAGTTGTAATAACATCTAGCGTTTATGCGGTTGTAGGGTTGGGATGTCAGTGTGTTTCAGGATTGCCATGCAGGCTGTATGTGTGACATTATTCTTTCATACAGCTTTGTTCTGAGAATGTTTCTTATCCCTACATTTACCCTTTTAGTCCCTCAATCCTTTTCTTTAGGAAAAATCTCATTTATTTTTTTCAGAAAACCTTTTACCTAGACAGTAAACATTTTGCCACTCTTCTCTCATGTGCACGTGTAACACTGTACACCAAAGTCTGTTGAAAGGAGATTGAAGAATGTGTTCTTATGCATAGAGAGCTATTCACAGAGAGGAAATAGAGATCAAGGTTGGCGCAAAGACTGATGAGTGATTATCTCCCACGACTGTTCACCCCTGCCCTGCATCCTCCTTTCCCCAAAAGATTAGTAGTACTCCTGGGTATCTGCAAGGACAGATCTGGATGGTGGAGAATACAGTGACATCTCCTCCAGAGGGCACAGTTGGTGGCAGTTCATGAATTCTTGCTGGGGCTGCCAGTAATTCAGACCTTGAACTGTTGAAAACGCAGACAAGTACATGTTATTATTCGTCCCCCTGAGATTTTACAGTCTATTTCTCTTTGTATTCAGTTGTAGAATTCCTCCATCCCTATCAATTTTGTTTTGTTTTTTAAATATGTAAAACATTTAATATGACCTAAATGTTAAAACTGTATTAAAGAATTTTCTCAGAGAAATTATTTTCCTTTCCCTATACCTTCTTTTTTTCGTTTCTGCCTACCTTCTAGGAAACAATTTTATTACTTTCTGGTTTATCCTCTTTTTTCCTTTTGGAAAAATAAATAATTTTAAAAAATTGTGTATATATTGAAATTTTTATGTTTCTCCCTCCCCCACCATTTTTAGCTCTCCTACTTTTTCCCATGGAAGGCCTTTCTTATTGAAGGGATGGCATACTACATATACTTTTCACCTTGCCTTTTTTTTTGTGTGTGCTTTTTTTCCCTAGACCTCATTATTAGCCCTGTGGAAATCTTTCTCATTTTTTTTTAGTTGTATTATTCAAATGGATACTTATATCATTTCTGATATTTTTGCTACCATAAACAATTGTTCAGCCCTGGCTGGTGTGCCTCAGTGGATTGAGCTCTAGCCTGCAAACCAAAGGGTTGCTGGTTCGATTCCCAGTCAGGACATATGCATGGGTTGTGATCTGGGTCCCCAGTAGGGGGCGTGTGAGAGGCAGCCACACATTGATATTCCTCTCCCTTTTTCTCCCTTCTCCTCACTCCAAAAAATAAAGTCTTTTTTTTTAAAAAGTATGTTTACAGTTGTATGTGAAACACAAGTTATTCTTATATTATTATTTATTAATTATTATATTATTTTCCATATGAACAGCTGTAAACACTTTTGCCCTATCCTGTATCTTATCATCTCTCCTATTTGGAACTACAAATCCCTAGAGAGTTGGCTTTTTAGCACCTAACAGAATGCCTGGTGTTAGTAGGTACTTAATACATTTGTTAACTGAAAGAAGGGATTTAAACAAGTCATCACAGCTTTAGCAAAGAGTGAGTAAAAGAAAATTGTGCCCATTTTTCTAGTCAAAGCACACATCTGTTTTATTCATTTTTCTCTTTATTTTTTCTCTCCAAATTTAGTTTGTGCTGAGACCTATAACCCTGATGAGGAAGAGGAAGATACTGATCCAAGGGTAAGAACTACAGCAAAGGGTACTAGGTAGAATTGTTTTATAACCACTCACTCCCCTACTCTTCTACATACCAAATCAAATCATGCTGATAATTAAAATAAATACAAATTAAAATCTCAACAAGATGCCATTTTTTATCTAACAGATTGACAGATATTAAGAAGAATTAGCCCTGGCTGGTGTGGCTCAGTGGATTGTACGCTGGCCTGTGAACCAAAGGGTCACTGGTTTGATTCCCAGTCAGGGCACATGACCAGGTTGTAGGCCTGGTCCCTAGTTGGGGGCCATGCAAGAGACAACCGGTCAATGTTTCTCTTACACACTGATATGTCTCTTCCTCTCTTTCTTCCTCCGTCCCCTAAAAATAAATAATTAAAATCTTTAAAAAAATAAAAAAAAAATTTTTAAAAAGAATGAAAGCAAGATTGATTGAGGTATTTGTAAGAAGGGGTACCTAGCTATAGCTATCAATTTCTTAAACATAGGACAACTGACTCAGCAGTTACCTGAAGGAGAATTCATTCCTAACAGTTGGATCTTTTTGTACAATTATTTCTGGAAGGATATAGTCCAGATGTTAACAGTGGTTGTGGCAGGACTGTGTTTGACTTTTGAGCACTTCTTAAACACTCAGGTTTTAAAATTCTTGTACAGTTAACAAATTACCTCTATAAAGGCAAATATGAAGCATCATTTTTAAAAGATTGATGTTATAAAAGAAACTTTAATGATCTTTCAAGTATGCCTTGAAATGAATAGCCTATTAAACATTTCTGAAGTATTGTAATAATAAAATGCTACCATTGTATGAATATAATAGATATGTAGATTTTAATATATCTTTATATTGGATATTGTAAAATTCCTGATAATTTTTAAAAGTTAAAGTGGTTTTTAACTAACTTTTTACTATTCAAAATGCTTAACACTTTAGATATGTTATTTCTGGTAAGATTACGTGATGTACCCTTCTTTTTAGGGCGAAGACAATACTTAGGAAAGAGCTTGATGGGTCTCTCAATTATAAATAATAGCAGTACTAGCAAAAACTATTTTTAGTTCAATAATTATTTACTGAATATAATAATAGTAATAGTTTTGAGCGTCTATTAAATGTTGGGTACTGTTTATGGGCCCAGCATGCTTCCGCCATACTACTCTGCTCGCATGTATTGGGTACTGTTTTAAATAGCGCATATATTAATTCATTTAATCTTTATCACAACTCTAATTTTATTTATTTTTTAAATAAACTTTTAAAAGTTTTTTTAAAATTTATTTTTAGAGAGGGAGAAGAGGGAGAGAAATATCAGTGTGTGAGAAAAACATCATAGATTAGTTGCCTCCGCACACCCCTAATTGGGGACCTGGCCCCCATCCCAGGCATGTGCCCTGAACAGAAATTGAACCAGTGACCTTTTGGTTTGCAGGCTAGCACTCAATCCTCTGAGCCACACCAACCACACATCTCTAATTTTATAGATATCACTACTACTGCTGCTGCTAATAGTAATGATTATTACTATTTGTTGATGTTTGAACTCTAGCTTGTATAGCCATTGTTTACTTTCCATGTTTACTTAGATTTCAATAGACAACTCAAACTTAACATGAATTCCTGATTACCTCTCCTTTTAAACATACTTTTCACCCATAGTCTTTTCCAGCTCAATTCACAGCTGTACCACCCTTCTAGTCGCTCAGGACCAAAACTTTAGGGTCACTCTCTCTTCCTTTCATTTGTTCATACCCATATTTAATTTGTCAGTAAATTTGTTGGGCTCAGTCTTTTAAACATATCTGAAATTCCACTACTTCTCAGCACCCCCATTGCTACCACCCTGGTCCCAAATACCACCACCTGGCACTGGGATAATGACAGTAGCTTGCCGGCTTTCACCCTTTCTTCTCAAGGCTCTTCTTCACTCAGCAGCTAGTGTGAGCCTTTAAAAACACTAGATCTCTTCCTTTCCTCAGTCACAATCCTTAAATTGCCCCCATGTCACTGGAGAAAAGCTCCAGCTCTGTGACCTACAATGTCCCTTAGTACTTGGGTGTCACCCACACCCAGTCCCCCAACCTGGTCCCTGCCCGATCTTTCCCCCTTTGCTCTGCATTAGTTGCACCTGTCTCCTGGTTAGTTTTCTGACATAAAGTACTGTTTACCTACCATGAGGTCTTGTTTTTACTTGCTGTTCCCTTTGCTTGAGGTGTTCTTCCCACAGAGATGGCCAACATGACTCCCTCCCTCAGGTTGTCCTCACTCCTTGAGGTCTTTACACAAATGCCATGTTCTCAGTGAGGCCGCATCTAGACACACACACAGACAGCCTTCCCTACCTTAGTTTTCTGTTGAGCCTTATAACTCTTCAACATACTTTTATGTATTTATTGAATACAAGAGCAGATGTTTTTGTCTATGTGTTCACTACTGTGTTCACAGAGTTAGGGTAGGGCCTGGAACCTTGTAGATACCTAGGATTTGTTGAGTGAACAAATCTATAACCCTCTGCTTTACGAATGAGGACTCTGAGGCTTCCAGGGGGTGGCTAACTTGCTGGCAGCCACACAGTCAGTGGGTGGCCCCAGGGTGGGTGCTCTTCATCCCCATATTACCCTTCATACTCAGGGCACTGCTTGCAGTTTATATAGAATTAAAATTATAGTAAATCCACTCTTAATTTTTCCCACTTTTTAAGAGAGAGAAATATACCAATTTGTAAGTAAAGTAAGATTTTAAAATGGAATTTAAAATTTCCTTGGTTTTCTTTGTATTGGCAGGTGATTCATCCTAAAACTGATGAACAGAGATGCAGACTTCAGGAAGCTTGCAAAGATATTCTGCTTTTCAAAAATCTTGATCAGGTAACATTGATTTTTACAATATTTTTGTCCTTTTATTTTGCTTCTGTTAACTTGTTTCCTGAGCCTACGCAGCCCAACTGGCTCACTTCTACTACCTGTATAATTTTCTAGATAAACTTTCTCTTATAATTTGAAAAAATAAAATATTTTTATCTTTTACCTTTTTTTGTCATTTAAGTAGTTTTTAGTGTCTTAATCACAACCATATGAGGCATCAAACTTTAGATTCATCTTACTTACAGATGTTTGCATCGTGTTGTGAGCTTGTCAGATGATATTAGTTTTTCTCAGAACTTCTTTGACACTTCCTCCAAGATAGTACCATTTGAGGACCATGCAGTTTGGTCATGTAAAAGGAAAATGCTCAGGTTTGCATGACCCTGGCTTAGTTTGAAGGGTCTGAATTCACGCTGCAGAATAATTTCTCTGAAGATGCCAGCGTGGAGTTCTCTTCGTCTGTATCAGTTAACCCACTGGAAGTGTGTGACTGCTTCTCAGACCTTAGGTGTGGGGCACCCCTTGGGATTACTCCTTACTGAACGCCTCAGGCATGGGGCGCACACGGAGTGTTGTGTGTGGAGGGCCCCAGCAGAGAGATCGCTGCGTGGGCTTGTTTTCCCTCCCTCGGTGGAGATAGCAGGGGCTACCTCCTGAAGACACAGAGTCTTCCATTTTCCTCTGTCTTCTCTACTTTGAGGGGCCACATGCTGAAGCCACATGAATGGCTGAGGTGCTGGGGAGCTCCCAAATGTGCAGAGACAGGAAGGTTGGGATTAGAATTCTACTACTGCCCAGCTCCTGCAGATAGGTCTTCTGAAGGCACCCCCACAGCCCGCCCTGGGAATCTGGCTGGTCATACATGAATCTGTGATATATCAGTCAAGGGGATCAACCATCCTTGGTAAGCCAAGATATTTGCTAGCGGTGTGGTTATAGGAATGCCTGGAATATTCATTGGAGTTTTATTAGTCTCAGGCTGAATAAAACAAAACAAGGACCATGAGCTCAAGGAAAGGCTGGTTGTGAGAAATACTGGTTTTTGTCAGCTGTTTTCTCTGGAAGACCCATCTGTATCAATGGAAAGGGGAGTTGCTTCTTTATATACTGTGAATAAAACCCCTTGTAAACTTAATATCATGAGATGTTCTAAGGGAAGTTTCTATGTCAATTTAATCACCGTTTTGTTAGTTTTTGAGAATACCATTTTAGTGTTGAAAATGATAACTGAATTTTCAGATTGACTGGTAATTATATTTTTCTAACATTTTATCGTGAAAATATTCAAATACAACAAAGTTAAAAGAATTTTATGGAACAAGCATTTATTCGCTGCTTTGATTAACATTTACTGTCTGTCCCTCAGCAAAGGGATTGGCAAACTTTTTCTTAAAGAACCAAATAATAAGTATTCTTCTGTCACAGCTACTCTATTATTATAGCAGGAAAGCAGCCATAGACAATACATAAATGAAAGGGTGTGGCTGTGCTCCAATAAAACGTTATTTGGAAAACTAGGCAGCTCTTTGTTGGCTCCTACATTAACCTATCTTATTTTAGGCAGTGCATTTCACAGTTAGTTACAGGTATCAGTATTCTTTCCCTGAAATACCTTGCATGCATCTCATGAACTCAAAACTTGTTTATAATTTTTTAATGTAAAGTTTGCATGCAATCAAATGCACCAGTTTTAAGTGTGCATTCACGGAGGTTTGACCAAAGCATACACATAGGTAATTTAAACCCCAATCAAAATATAGTTGCCCTGATCAGTGTGGCTCAGTGGGTTGAGCATGATCCTGCAAACTGAAACCTTGCTAGTTCAATTCCTGGTCAGGGCACAGGCCTGTGTTGCAGACCAGGTCCCCAGTTGGGATGTGCAAGAGGCAACTAATTGATGTTTCTCTTGCACATCGATGTTTCTCTCCCTCTCTTTCTCCTTCCCTTCACCTATCTCTAAAATAAAGGAAGGGAGGGAGGGAGGGAGGAGAAAGAAACGAAAGAAAGAAAATCTTAAAAGAAAAAAGGCATAGAATGTTGCCACCATTCCATAAAGTTCCCTCTATCCCTTCATGATCAATTCTTGCCCCCTCCAGAAGCAACTACTGTTTTTATTTATTCTACAGTAAATTAATTTGCTTGTTCTAGAATTTTATGGAATCATACAGAATTTACTCTTTTTTGAGATTTTTTCATTCAGTACTATGTTTCTGAGGTTCGTCTTTGTTGCCGCATATAGTTGTAGTTCATTCCTTTTTCTTTTTTCACTTTTTATATTGAACTAGGCTTTTTTTATCTTTTATTTATTTATTTTTTTTTGAAGAAAGTGGAAGTGGGGGTGAGAGAAGGATCGATTTGTTGTTCTATTTATTTATGCATTTGTTGGTTGATTCTTAGGTGTGCCCTGACCAGGGATTGAACCTGCAACCTTGATGAATGGGGACAACGCTCTAACAAATGGAGCTGTCTGGCCAGGACTACTTTGACCTAGTTATAAGTTCACACAAAATGTTGTAAAAATAGCACAGAAGGTAGCATGGTCACACTGACAGAACACGAAATCACATGAAATTATGCAGCAATAAAATTATTTCCTGGTCAGGTCTTCAACCCACATTCCTCCAAGGAAAAAATCTTTCTTTGAGTTGAAAAGTCTGTCTTTATTCTTTTTTGAGCTCTAATGGTTACTAATCTCCGTGCCTGACAGAGGCCCTAGGCTGAGACCAGTGTTTTGTTAGAATTTAATAGCATTGTTTTGTTTCCATTATACTTACTGATAGCTACGTTCTGGTTATGGCCGGTAATATTGGTAAGTAAGTAATTGTGCATGTTTGTATAGAAATGATTGAAGCAGTATTGGCCGTCTGATAATATATCTCATTTATTGAGTACCTGTTATGTAATACTTTCCTTAGAAACTATTTATTAAGCCCCCTTACATGTGAAAGGAAGTGAGAGAGGTGAAGTGATATGCTTGGCTAGTCAGAGCGGTTGTACTACTCCAAAAGATAACCTCCAGTGCCATCCCAGCCCCTTAGATCTGATGATCCTGTTAAATTAATACCTATGGGAATGTGGCTTCATATGGTTTTACACATGACATAGTGGAGCCATCAGGGCCAGTGGCAGTCATGTGGGTGTGGGTGGGAGAATGGGCACTATGATTTAGATAACTATTTTTGCTTAAATTATGGAACACTCTTTCAAAAAAATACTGCCTCAGAAACACTGAGCAACTGAGCTGTGTACATGGAGGGGCAAAGCTGGGTGGTTATAGGAAAGCACTTGTTTCAGAGAGCCCTTAGGTTTCTGCTTGAATGTAAGGAATAGTCTGATTTGGGGACTTCACTCTGTAGTCACAAACTGAGATAAGCATAGTCATTTTTTTCCTAGCACATGTAAAAGCCATCTTTTCTCCTTGTGTTTACCCTGCAGGAACAGCTTTCTCAAGTTCTCGATGCCATGTTTGAAAGGGCAGTCAAAGTGGATGAGCATGTTATTGACCAAGGAGATGACGGAGACAACTTTTACGTCATAGAGCGGTAGGAGATGGAGCTTTGCAGTTGTGCAGCTACACTTATGATTCATGTTTAGGACAAGTGCTCTCCCGTATACTTTGTTCAGTCTAAAGAGGACTTAAGCAGATGAACAAGCTTTCCAAAGCTTGCCCATCTCCATCCACAGCCTGCCCCTCTCTATCTACAGTGGTCCTGAGTCCTCAGTACACCCCATACTTGGGTTGCTGCTATCTGCAGTAGAAAGTCTCTTTTACAAGTAGACAAGATGTGCTTTATAAACCTGTTATTTGTCGGTGTTCAAGGGAATTGATTTCCTGAAGAATAGCTGTGATTCTGTTATCTGAATCTTTGAATCCTAGCCTCATTTTACACGTGAGGACACTGCCTCAACCTCTGGCTCTGTTCCAGGTATAAGCCATGTTGGAAAACATGAAGTGTGTGGGTTTGACCTGCTCACCTTAGTGTGTCCTAACCTCTGGAGCTGTTAGAATCATCTGGGGGGCTCCTATGACCCTCTCTGAAAGGAACACCCTCACCAGACTTGAAGATCAGTAAGATGCTGCCTCACCCAGTAACTTCCACTCTTTTTCAGTTTTTTCTTTTGAGGTAATTTCAGAGTTACAGAAACATTACAGATAGTACAAAAAATTCCCATAAACCTAGGATCCCGGTGTTATGTTTTACATTTTCTTTATTATTGTTTGAAAGTAAGTTGAAAGTATAATGCCCTTTTACTATGAATACTTCAGTGTGTGTTTCCTAAAAATAGGACATTCTTTTACGTAAGCACAGAATAATTACAAAATTCAGAAATTAACATTTATACAGTACTATCATCTACTCTATACTTACTCAAACTCTTCCCAATTGTTTCCCTAATTTCCAAGGTTCTTTTAATCTCCGTCAAGTAGCTGTACCAGATTCATTTGGTTCCCTTTCTTGCCAAGCCTTTGCTTTGTTCAGATTCTTGCACAGAAAATGTCCTCACTCCTTGGATAACCTTTGGGTTCTTGATATCTGTGACAGTGTTACAGTTAGAAGAAATGTTTTATTTAAAGAGTAAAGATATTACAAATAATATCTTCTAAGTTGTATTACCACCTCCGCAGCCACCTTTCCCCCTTGTTCTGCCATGTGCTCTCCCACCAACTCAGGAATCCCAGTACACCTGCATTTGGGAAATGAGCATCCATCCGCACATACCCATAGCTTAAAGGCTGAAACGCCTGTCTACAAAGGGAATGATTTGTTACATGTGTAAATAAGAGGGATTATCTTTTGAATGCTGTGAAAGTAGTTATTAACAAATCAGAAAGACTATCATTCAAGTAAAAAGGTATGGTTCCTGACCTCAAAAAATTCATCTGCCAGAGAGACAGACCCTTAAATAGATAATCATTACATGATGTGGTGGGAACAACAATGATAAAAATATGTTCCGTTATTTGAAAGAGGACCTGAGTGAGAGAGGTTAAGAAGGACTTTGCAGCTGCCTGAAATGGTTCTTTTCATTCCCCAAATTAAGTAACTAGTGTTTCCAGGAGGAGAGACTGAAAACACCTAAGTGAATTTACTCTGAATTCTGTTTCCCAGTCATGGCCTCATTACCTTTGCCTCGTCTACCAGGTCTGATATAGGTCCGTTCCCCTGTCGAGTGGGGAGGAGCAGGGTTGGTGCCACATAACTGATACTTTAGTGATTGATTTTATTTTCTGCTCTTGTGTAACATACTATACTTAGTGATTTTTATCAGACAAGTTGAGGCTCTTTATAGGAAATTTTTAAAATTAAAATAAAAAGCAGGGGGGAAATATAAAATAAAAACAGGAACCCTGGCTGGTGTGGCTCAGTGGATTGAGCATCATCCTGTGAATTGAAAGGTCACTGGTTCGATTCCCAGTCAGGGCACATGCCAGGGTTGCAGGCCAGGTCCCCAGTTGGGGGATGTGTAAGAGACAACTGATTGATATTTCTGTCCCTCTCTTTCTCACCTCCCTTCCCCTCTCTCTAAAAATAAATTAAATTAAAAAATAAAAACAGGATTGTGATTTAGCCATAATTTCATTATCAGAGTACATTCTTCCTCCCCCCCCCCCCCCGTGTTTTATTGTTGAGGTCAATCTATTATCCCAGATTTGGTTCAGATGCTGCAACTGATGATACCACACACTAAGGGATGGAAAGGTTTCTTACTCACATAATGAGGCTTTTTAGGGCAAGCAAGTCAAGTTCCCAAGAAGTCCAAAAAATGAGACAGGAGGGAGGGTTGACTGGCTTGGAACTTCACGGTGTTTAGAAGGTGGAACTGGGGTATGAGGGTGCTCTTCCATATGGGCTGGCACTTGTTGTTTGAATGTGCCATCAGCACCAAAGGAGGGAGCAGGAGGCTTTCTTATCAGCTTTCCCAGATATGAGATAGAAGAGGAAGGTGCACTGGTGTGGTAGGGCTTAAAAGCTGTTACAGTCAAACATCAAAAGGGGAGTTGACTTTTATTACATTTACATATATGTACTTTCTTACATTGTGTCATACATTGTTTTGTGGCCTGAATTCAAAATCCATTTTAAGTAGTTTGCCATGGGATGCAGCATTATTCTGTCATAATTTATATTAACTGTATAATATGAATACAGATATGTATTTGACCCATCCCCTCTTGTCAGCAGATTAAATTGTAATTTTTGCTGTTATAAATATTACCTGGTGAGCATCCCCATAGTTAAATCACTTTCAGTATCTTTGATTGTCTCCTTTAGAATGCCAATTAGAAATGGAATTGCTCTCTCAAAGGGTCTCTTTAAGGAATTTGCTATATGTTGTTAATTACCTTGCAGAAACTTGGGAACATTTACATTTGCCTCAGTATTGAGAATTTCTATTTCTCCAAATGCCTGTCAGTTCTGAATATCATCAATCAACAGAGATGTTTTTTGGTTTTTTAATTTTAATCAATTCAACATTCTGGTGTTCAACAGACTACAAAACGAAACCCACACATTCATTTGAATAACTGCAGGAAAAACATTTGAAAAAATTCAAAACCTTTTCTTGATAAAAACTCTCCACAAACAAGGAGCAGATGGGACTTTTCTCCAACCTAATTAAAGGCATTTTTAAAAACCTACAGCTAACATCATACTTAATGATGAAAGATTAAATGTTTTCCCTTTAAGATTGAGAATAAGATAAGACTGTCTGCTCTTACCACTTCTATTTAATATTGGACTTAGATTCTAGCTGGTGCAATGAGGCAAAGAAAACGAAGGAAGGAAGGCAGGCATATAGATTGGAAAGGAAGAAGTAAAACTCTGCTTGCAGATGACATGACCCACTAGAAAATCCTAACGGTGCTACGAAAAAACTAAAACTAATAATTGGTTTTAGCAATGTCCCAGAATACAAAGTCCATATGCAAAAATCTGTTGGGAATGCGCTACAACAGTGTTTTCTATCTTATATACTTTCTGTTTGTGTACCACCTGCCAGTTCTTAAATTTATTGTTAGAATTAATAAATGAAATTGTTCTTTGTTATCCTTTCAGGGGAACTTACGATATTTTAGTAACAAAAGATAATCAAACTCGCTCTGTTGGTCAGTATGACAACCGTGGAAGTTTTGGAGAACTAGCTCTGATGTACAACACCCCGAGGGCTGCTACCATTATTGCCACCTCAGAAGGCTCCCTTTGGGGACTGGTGAGTTAGAGAACTGGTTCCCCTTGCATGGCACAGTATTAATTCCCTTTACTCCTGAGTCTCTGTCCTTAGGCTGTTGATTAACACTAGTTTATAGCCAGTCGTTTGAAAGACATTGTGGAAGGCCCTGACTGGTGTGGTTCAGTGGGTTGGGTGTCATCCCTCAAATGGAAAGGTTGCCGGATCAATTCCCGGTCAGGGCACATGCCTGGGTTGCGGGGCCAGGTGCCTGGTTGGGGACTCACGAGAGGCAACCGATTGATGTTTATCTCACACATTGGTGTTTCTTTCCCTCTCTTTCTTTCTCCCTTCCCCTCTCTCTAATAATAAATAAATAAAAATCTTTAAATAAAATAAATAAAATGATTTGTCAATACCATTCACTCTAAATTACAGGACAACAGCTGGGTTTTGTGACCTTGCAGTTGTGTCAGCTCTTATTACATTTTCTGTTTTATGTTTTTATGAGACAAGTGGAGGGGGTGGATAACACTATACGGGAGACAGCCTAGAAAAATAAGTTACTGAAAGCACTGCCAACATTGGTTTTCATCCCTAGCTGTCCCAGGACTAACTTTTCTCTGTGTTCAGCCATTCTCTTGTGCATTGGTCCATTCCAGTATCCAACAGATTTAGATGACTAGAAAGACTGCTGGCCATATTTTGGGAAAGAGAACTTTCCCAGAATACCTTAGGCATTGCACAGCCGAGATCGCTATCCTTCATTATACATGACCCACCTTCCTTCAAAATATATAAGTCTCTTCCTTCTATACAAACTAATCCTCCTCTTGTACAAACTCTAAATTTCACTTTTAAAATGTTGACATCTATGGTAATTTGTTTCTATTTACCTTATAAGCAGAATTAAGTGTATATCATAGAATTACCAACATTCAGGGTCTGGCATAAATAACACCCTGGTTTTATTACACAATCTTTTATTACAAAATCATAAGCATGTAGTTCTATAACATCTCACTGAATCACATTCAAGCACATCACATGACATTTTCAGTGAAATGTTCAAATTAAAACTATAAATTATTACACCTATATTATTACCCTACCAATCCAACTCAAGGAGGCGTTACTTCTGCTGGTCCCTGTATTTTCTCAAATGAAATCACATTTTAAAGACATAATAGAACACTTTACTGTGATTTAAGAAAATTAAGAATGCTCCTGAGAGGTGAGTGATACAATGGCTTCAGAACAGATCACACACTTTGGGGACTCAGTGGTTGGAAAACTCAAGGATGGATCAATAAATAATCAGGGGAAAATAAACTCTGTTATAAAATGCATTGATGCCAACTACTGGTCTAGGCCAAGGTGGAATAACCCCATTACCTCTTAAAATTAAAAACCTCTGGATATCATACAGTGATCAAATATAGGGAGATCCCAAAAAATAGAAAAGAGAAGGCAGGCTGGCTAGGCTCTCAGTACTTAAGAAAAGCAATAGACATTTTCCTGAATTCCTGAAGTCACAGGAAAGGGTAGCATTCCTTTTTCCCTTTGAACCTCAGGGTTATTTGCTTGACTCTGAACACTTGTTGCCTGAAGGAGCTACCATTTCACGGTGAGAGTTTCCTCTTCACTGCACTGTTGGAATCTCCCCAAAAGCTGGGGTGGTGTGTCTTGTGCTTTTCTATACCCTCCACAGTCATAGGAACTGACCTTTTGCAGCATGAGAGTTCTGGGAAGTGTATAAAAGAATGCAAAAAACGGGTTGGAACATGAATAGACAAGTCACTTTAAAGAGAGATCAGTTGTTGCTTTGAGTGACAGCAACATAAGATGGCAGCCACTAGAGTCTCAGACAATTTATGAAAACCGAATATACAGCCTTAAAATAGAATGTGGATGTAAATACCCAGAAACACCCCCCTTTGTAAGATTTGTAACAAAAATTAATATGAATGTAGTTAATAGTTCTAATGGAGCAGTGGACCCAAGAGCCATATCAAAGCTGGCAAAATGGCAGAATCCACACAGCATCACAGTTGTCCTGCAGGGGCTTTGACGCCTAATGAGAACTAAAGAGAATATGAAACGCCCTGCAATACGAGCCTCCTGAAGGGCAGCGTTACAGCAGTTAATCAAAAAGAAAAATCACAGGGCTGCCTCTGCCACCTTTCATTTTAGGCAGTCTTCATTTTCCCCAGTAGGAAATTTTCTAGATGTGTCTTGTAGACCTCAAAGTACTAGAAAGGAAGCTCCCATTCAAAGGCAATTTATCTTAAGATACTGTAAATGATACTAATTTTTTGTCCACTTGAAATATATGAGGATCAGTTGTCTTCACTTGGAAATACAGTGTGCTACTGCAGTTGTAGTAACCTTTGTAACATTATACATAGATTTTTTAAAATATTGTCTTGGACAATACCTACTCAATTATAAAGAAGAGAACTTTATAATTCCCATTTTCTCAGTCTTGATTGTCCTCTTCCCATAGCACTCTTGGCCTAGATTGGCCCAGAAAACATGTAGAAACTGAATTCTAAAGATAATGATGTAATATTCCAAAGTATAACTAACATTTTAAGTGATACATTTCTAACCTTGGACTTCAAAAGAGTAGTGGCATGTACCCATTATAGCAATCAGAGTGTGAATGGCTCTTTTCAAGCAGACAGATGAAGAAAATGGGGCAGAATCTGGCAAAATGCTAGAGCAAACGTTATTTGTACACGAGTTTAAGGAGGGAGGGTAGGAGCCCGCCATGACTCACCAGATGTGCGGGGTGCAGCAGGTGATTTTTTTGTAAGGCAGATGAAACATGGCGTGGGATAGGGCCTGGGGATCCTGTAGTTAATGGAACTGCCAGCGAAGCCCGTTTAGACATCTTAATTTAGTTGTCTTCTCTGTTTTCTCCATCCCACTCTTACCACATCATCAAGAATGCTAAAATAACAATCCTACGCTTAACATGCCTTTAGTCCCTTGCTGTTTTTCATTCTGCCGGCCTTTGGGATGTCATTACTGTATGCTTCCCCCCTCTCCCCCCACCAAAAAGAAATCTATTTCTGACAGCCTGAGGTGGAAGCAAACTACAATTAACTTAGGTACACATAACTGCTTGCCCATTTAGGAGCCTAAAGCTAATTAACATTCACCTGGCTGCATGTTCCTCCCCACATGTCTGAGAGGCACCTGGCTGTGGCTCTGGTTAACTGCCTTCTGAGTCTGAGTCCATGACTTGCTGTGGTCCAAGGTACCTGACTGCCTTCATCTTGCATTTCCTTCTGCCGATAATTTAAATTCTACTCCTCTTTTTGCAACAAAATTATCCTCAATAATTCCAACCTATTGTAATATCTTCCTCCCTCCTTGGAATTCTTGTAGCACTTATTTTGTCTCTGTAATTCATCTAGTATATTTCATATGCTATTTTGAACTGTAAATTTTTTTATTCCTGTATATTTTGAATTGTCTCCTCTTGAGATTGTAAAGTCCTTGAGAGCAAAAAACCATCTAATTGTTTTATCTCCTTTTTCTGAAGTTGCATCTTTTCACATTGAACAGTGACTGACCATAAGCTCACAAATGTCTGATGGGAAGTTTTTCATTTTATATTCTATTTATGGCCCATAGGTGGCACCCATTGAGTATCACATGGCAAGCAGCAACCAGTGGGACCTCTGTCTGGCTCAGACTACAGTTTATTGTAGTTCTTTCATTTTTCTCCGAGTGGTGACTCAGATTGAAATATCTGACTTAATACCTTTCATAGTCTTCTAATAGTTGCTGTGGCCAGTTAATTAAACCATAGGTGTTCTCTTACACACACATTTACCAGAATTTTCATATTCTTTCTTGTAGGACCGTGTGACTTTTAGAAGAATCATAGTGAAAAACAATGCCAAAAAGCGGAAGATGTTTGAATCATTTATTGAATCTGTGCCCCTTCTTAAATCACTAGAGGTAAAGTCTATTTGAATAAAGCTCTATTTATGCAGATTAAGGGAAGTTACTCAGCCCTGGCTGGGTGGCTTAGTTGGTTGGAGTGTTGTCCCATGCACTAAAAGATTGTGAGTTTGATTCCTGATCAGGGCATGTACACCTAGGTTGCTTGTCATAGGCACGTACGGGAGGCAACTGATCATTGCTTCTTTCTCATATTGATATTTTGCTCTCCCTCCCCACATCCTCTCTCTAACATCACTAAACATATCCTTGGGTGAGGATTTTAAAAAATAAAAAAATAGAAAAGCTATTAAACCCTTTTGCCCTCCCTGGCCAGGTAGCTTAACTGGTTATACCAATAATCCAGGATTGCAGGTTCGATCTCCAGTCAGGGCACATACAAGAAGCAACCATAAATAAGTGGATGCATAAATAAGTGGAACAAGAAATCAGTGTCTCTCCCCTCCCCCCATAATCAATAAATGTAAAAAAATTTTTTAAATTAAAAAACTATTCATTTGTTAGGTTTTCAAATCAAACTATTCTAACCCATTTCTGTGTTGTATAGATATTGTGACTTCGTTGAGGTCTTTTCCTTACAATCTGTGAGGATGTCTATTGTTTCAGGTGTCAGAACGAATGAAGATTGTGGATGTAATAGGAGAGAAGATCTATAAGGATGGAGAGCGCATAATCACTCAGGTGAGCGGGTGAATCACTCAGGTGAGGGTAGTGAGTCACTTGCTGGAGGACTAGTGCATCATTTGCCCTCTCACTTTTGGGAGCTCGTGTTACGAGGTACACTTCTGCAGAATTTTCTGAAGCCCATTGATGTTCATCTCACTGACATGCTGATCTGTTGCCTTCATTCACCTTTCCTTGGCTTCTGGCATTTGTTCTTTTGGATGTCATTTTCTTTTGACCCTGAGTAAGCTTCATTCATGGCTGTTAACACCTGGGGAAGGTCAAAGAGTTGTGCCCTTTGCAAACTTCTATGTCTGGCACAACAGTAGCTTCTTACCTAAACTAACAGAAACCAGAATCTTCATCTCCAGAGGAACTCTATCCTGAAAGCCCCAGGCCTGACAAGAGGTATGAGAAGCCACAGTGTTTTCTGGTGTGTCTGTGCTCTTGAAGATAGGAATGCTGGCTGGTGGTGCAAAATGGCTACAAATTAATATACTTACTATAGACTCCTTTTGACAGTGTTTCTAGACCAGGGTATCTCTACTCCAAGGATTCTCAAGCAATTCCAAGTGGTTTTGAGAGGAAGAATGACATGATGAGCATTCTATTTTCAAAGCAAAGTTCTGGCATCAATGCAAACTGAATTGGCACCCTGACTGGTATGGCTCAGTGGGTTGGGCTTCATTCCATGAAGCAAAATGTTGCCAGTTCGATTCCTGGTCAGGGCATGTGTGTGGGTTGCAGGTGTGATCCCATGTTGGGGCACATATGAGAGGCAACTGATAAATCCAATCAATGTTTCTTACGTCAGTGTTTCCCTCTCTTTCTCCCTTCCCCCCTCTCTAAAAGCAAATAAAAAAAAATTTTTTTAATGAATTGTCTTCAGCTTCATTGAGTAATCAAGGAAATGCAAATTAAAAACCACATTGAGGAACCATTTTCATACATTTTGTCAAAAAGTAGGAATTTGACTTTTTTTTTTTGAATCTGACAATTTTAAGTGATGTAGCAAGAACTGTTATTCATTGTTAATAGGAGAATAACAGCTGAACCCCTTTGGAGAGAAATTTAATCTTACCCTGTAAAGTTCAATTTATCCTATGATCTAGAAGTCTTTTTCCTCGATATTTTCAGAGAAATACTCTCAAACCTCAGAAGCTGCCCAACCCTCCTAAGTTCCTTCCCAGTCACAGCCCCTCCTACCTCCCTATCCTGACTTGTATGATAGTCACATACTTGCTTTTCTTTATAGCTTTCACCACTTATGTATACACCTTAAATATTATGGCCAAGTTTTACTCTTGTTTTTAATTTCTTTCATTGGAATTAGAAAGTATATATTCTTTAATTTGCATCTTGCATTTTTTTCGCTCAGCGTTCATTCACGTTGTATGCAGTTGTAGTTTGTTGGGGGATTTTTTGGGGGGTAGGTGGCTTATTGCTATGTAGTATTCCAGTATGTGAATATAAACTATTTGCCTTTTCACTGCTGATGGGCATATAGGATATTTCTAGTTTTTTAGCTATTACAAACAATATTTCAGTGGTAACATTGATTTGTTTTTCAAATGTTAAAGCTACCTTTTGTTGTTGAGGTAAGATAAACCAACTTGGCCATCATATAGTATCCTTTTTATATATTGGTGAACCCAATTTGCTAATATTTTGTTTACAATTTTATATCTGTGTTCCCAAGTGGGGCTTGTCTATACTTTTCCATTTTATAGTAGCATTGTTAGATTTTGATGTCAAGATAATGTTAACTAATAATGTAGGTTGGAATTCAGTCCTCGTTCTATTACCTGAAAAGTTTGTGTAAGATTAGAATTTCTCGGATATTTTATGGAACCATTTTTTTCTTTGTGGGAAGATTTTGACTACAGATTACTTTAATTGTTAAACCATTTAGGTTTTTTATTTCATTATTTTTATTGAATTTTTTATCAGGGTAACATTAGTTAATAAAATTGTATAGCTTTCAGGCATACAATTCTACAATAATTCATCTTTGGTGTGTTTTGGTAAGATCTCTTTTTTAGGGATTGCTTCATCTCATCTAAAATTCAATGTTATTGGCATAAAGTTGGTCATAGTGTTCCTATTAATGTCTTTTAAATATATACAGCATATAGAATGATGTTCTCATTCTCTCTTTTTTTTAAAGATTTTATTTATTTTTAGAGAGAGGGAAAGCAAGGGAGAAAGAGAGGGAGAGAAACATTGATGTATGAGGCCAACATTGATCAGTCATCTCTTGCATACCCCCAACTGGGAACCGAACCTCCCGGAACCCAGGCGTGTGCCCTGACTGGGAATCGACTTGGCAACATTTTGCTTTGCGGGACAATGCCCAACCCACTGAGCCACACCAGTCAGGGCAGTTCTTTCAGGTTTTTGGAAGAACCAACTTTGGCTTTTATTAATTCTATTGAATGTTTGTTTTCTGTTTTATTACCTTCTGTCTTTATCTTATTTCCTTTCTTCTACTTTTTGCTATGTTTTTCGTATTCCCTTGAGTTAGATGCTTAGCCCTTTACTTTTTAGTCTTTCTTCCTTTACATTATGAGCATTTTAAAACTAGGTATTTCCCTACCTCTCTGAAGATCAGTGATGATTTTCAGCACTTAGAGGTTTCTACCTTAAGTCCCTTTGGATATTTGTGCCCTGACTTCTGTTATTCTTTAGCACCAAAATGCCACTGGCTTCTTTATACAGCCCAGTTCTTTACACATGCGTTATGCCTGAGGATGGAAGCCTTGCTTAATGTCCAGCTGGGGTCCAGATACAGCGGAAGGAATAGAAGCCCCTGCCCGTGGCAGGCTTGGTGGGACCCTGGCATGCATCTCCCCCTGTCTCTGGATGTTCTCCGAACCACACATGCTGTCCAGGATGTTTTTAATTACATCCTATTAAGTTTATCAACACAAACTTTTATGTTTGTGTTGATATTTTAATTTCTTTCATAACTCCCCACCCTTCATCAACTCCTATTATGCAGCTATTTGTGTAATTCTAGAACTTCATCATAATTTGGCTCTGCTGGGTATAGGGCAGCACAGAAACCCACAGACATCCCTTTTGTAAAGCTGTGGCTCTCATTCACATGGAACAGTGATGATTATATGGTGACCTGGCACTAGCAAAGAGGAACTCAGCCTCAGCTGTGTATGGTGCCCACTTGGAGTACTGTATGGTAGTCAGAGGATATGAAGTCTTACGAATGCTCAAAAGTATAGATTCTCACTGAGGATACAAGACCCAGATGGAATGAGAGCACATGATTTAACACTGAACATCCAGTATAGATGGTCATTGCTTCAGAGCTTCAGAGTGAGGGCTCAGAGCCTGCAGTCTGCCTGAAAGCTGCTTCTCCCCTAGCTGCTTGCCTGGCTCTCACCTCCTCAGTGAGGCTGTCTGTCGGCCACCATAGCCGCACCCTCCCCCGGCCTTCCACATCTCACATTCTCTGCTCGCTGTTTTTCCTGTAGCACTTACTGCCTTCCAGCACAGCAGCGTGACTTACTGATTATTATGTTGATTGTTTACAGTTTTTTCATGCTACCAGACTGTAGATTTCACAAGGGTAGGGATATTTGTTTTGTCCACTGATGTATCTCACGTGTCTAGAACAGAACAGTGCCTGGCACAGAGTAAGTACTTAATTATTTTTTTAGTCACCTGAGTGACTAGTGCAGCTAAGTGGGTTAAAATCAAAACAAGCAAAAGAAAAGCCTGAGACTCATAAGGATGACATCAGCCCACATCAAAGCACCTTCTCATCAGGCAGGGCTTTTACACTGTTCTCCAGGGGCCGCATTTGATGGCCAAGGTGATCCCTGGGCCCCATGACCCAGGGGCAGCCAGCAGCCACCTTGACACTGCCTGTAGCAGCCTTGATTACTGACCCCTTGGGTTTCAGTAGCGGACCAACACGAGGAGTAAGCACAATGCTCTGTGCAGTTGGCAGCCTGGGCACTTTCATGGAAGAAAATGTGAATATTCCATGTTAGGAAATGAGAGGTGTGTGTCAAGTTATGTTGGACTGACATCCCCTGCAATCAGGATCCTGTTTTGTTCTGAACTTGTTAGTCATTGATTGATTTGTAGAGTTGGAAAATAAATACAAATCAGAGCTCAGGCGATGACAAAATGATCTACTTCTGTGTTTGTCTTCAACACACATGTACCTGACCTCCTTTCCCTTTTCAGGGTGACAAAGCTGATAGCTTTTACATTATAGAGTCTGGTGAAGTGAGGATCTTGATGAGAAGCAAGGTGAGTTTGTATGTGATGATGCCAGTTATTCCAGGGACGATCCCATGCCAGGTGTATGCACAGAAAGTAGCCGTTTTAAGTAACGGGAAGTGTGTTTAGTGTACCCAAACCATAGGTGAGGCATGTGACTTGCAAAACCCATGTTTAAGCCCATCCACTAATAGGGATTTATGGTGGTATATTTATGTTTGTCCCTATTGCCTTTGCTTCTGTTGTGTAATTAATGATATGAGAAATATTGGCCTACAAACCAATAAAAAGGTAAACGTCCTAACAGAAAAATAGGGGAGTTATGTAATAAATGTAGGTGTTGAATATGAAAATAGCTTCCTTTGTGGAGCACTGGGAAGGGAGCTCTCTAGGCCAGTTGTCATTGTGGCTAATTATTATGGCCATTTGATGGATAGGGAGACCCAGAAAACTGATGACTGTAGGAGGGAGGAGGGATTCTTACCATAAATGTATCATAACCAGATTTCTCAGTTTCAATTTTTTTAAGAATATAGCATTTGTTAAATAGTTATACCTAAAACTAAACTTAGTATGAAACCTTCTATAAAACATCGTTATTAAAAGTTAAGAATGGGGAAAGAAAAATATGATTACTGCTTATTGAGATGGCTCGTTTTCTAGTTAAAAATACATCTTGTTTCACATGAAACAGTAGCTTGAAACTTCTGTGTTCTTTCACGGTCAGTGTTTAGACTACTGATACATGTTTGTACATTTTTCAGGTACCCATTGCCACACAGCATAGTGTTGGATGTGTAGGACCCCAGCACTGTGACACGGGGTGGGGGGGGGAATGGGCGGGTTTGTCAGAAGTGCAGAGTCCTGGGCTCCGCCCCAGACCTACTGAATCAGAATTTGCATTGTTACAGAAGCCCCAGGGGTCTGGTGTTGGTGTGACAGTGTGGTAGGCACTGTCCTAGAGCAGGGACTAGGTGGGCACCGACATGTCTGTAGCCTCAGAGAATGCTACAGAAAAGGAAAGAGAGCATTGGCTTGACTGGGGCAGGTTGAGTTGTAAGAGCAAACAGGTCAGGGCAGAGGTGTGCAAAGAGCAATAGTCAAGCCATGTGAGCTCACGGGACACTTTTGTTTATTTTTCTAAATAAGTCTTGAAAAAGTTCATCTATCTGCCCATAACATAAAGGGGCTCTTAGAAATTGGAGAGCAATTCTTACTAATAAATTTTAAATATTTTTTTACTTAAACAAGTTACTGCTTAGCCTAGCAGAGGGATTTGTTTGTTTTTTTTTTAAAAAAGGAAACTAGATATTAAATACAATATAGTACTTCAGTCATTTTCAGTAACCTGATAAGCATGAATTACAACCTACTTGATTTCTTAATACAGAGTTAAACCACCAAATTTCAAGGATGGGCACTTCATTCTTCTTAAAAAACGATATGGTAGGGGACGACTAACTTTAGAAGTAGACAATACCCGAAAAAAAATTTGTCACTGTCAAGTTTTGTCTGAGAAAGACAGGGTCTCAAATCAAAAAGAAGCAGCCTAGGATTTTGACTTTTTACCCAAGAAAAACATTGACATTATTTAGAAAGAATTAACAAAAGATGTTGTTTATTTCCCCAGTTCCACAGAGGTCAGCATCTAACAAACGAAGGATATTCATATATGAGTATATGTATAAAATACATGTATTATTATATATCAATATACAATATATTAATTATTAATTATATAATATACTCTTAATGTTATATACTAATAATTATGTTATATATTATATAATACATTATAATGATGTATTATATATTATATGTTAATTGTATATTATTGATTATAATGTATTGCTATAAAGTATTTATATATATATATATATATATATATATATATATATATATATAAATCTTCAAAAGAAAATGATCAGCACCTTACCTCTTGATATTTAGCTATTACCAGTAAGGTGTTAGGATTCAGATGAAGTGTCAGTGAAAGCCAGCACCTCTGATTAAATCATGCCCCCGAGATTAGCCCATGCAATTTGCATGGTATAGAGTCTCTGCAGAGTGAATGTCTCAATAATTGTGTTAAGCGTACTAAGAAGGGAATCGATGTATGCAACTGGGTGTGCCCAGCTGTGATTCTGGGGTCAGCCTGGGTCATGTTCTCACCCCACTCTAGACTAAAGCAAACAAGGATGGTGGGAACCAGGAGGTTGAGATTGCCCGCTGCCACAAGGGGCAATACTTCGGAGAGCTTGCACTGGTGACCAACAAACCCAGAGCTGCTTCGGCTTACGCTGTGGGAGATGTCAAATGCTTAGGTAAGAAAAATTCTTTATGCCCAAATACTTTTTCTCTAACATTCAGTATTTTTTTTCTCATCAGCGAGCCTTGGCTTATTTCACCAACTCTTACATTTAGGCTTGGGCGATTCGTGTGACCGACCAGAAATGCCTGAATATTTGCTTTTCACGCATTTGTTTAAACATTTCTGAGCATTGACTATAGCCTGTGAACAAGATGGGCGTACAGGTGCCTGGCATTGTCAAAAGAGGAGGCAAGTGTCCAGGGTTATGTGGGGACAGAGAGAATTAGGTGCTGCTGGACTCCAAAATGTCTCAAACTTAGATGACACAGTTCTGCTGGGATCACGTAGAAACATCCCTCCTTTTCCCCAGTGCCCAGTGTCCCAAAGTCTAATGTCCTGTAATGCGAATGTATATGTTTAAGAAAAGGTTTGCACGAGGGAAATGACTTTGAATTGTTGATACAGAATTCATTCTCTCCCTCATCTTTTTTTAACAATGCAGTTATGGATGTTCAAGCCTTTGAGAGGCTTCTGGGGCCCTGCATGGACATCATGAAGAGGAACATCTCACACTACGAGGAACAGCTGGTGAAGATGTTTGGCTCCAGCATGGATCTGATCGATCCTGGGCATTAAGTGTGCCACACCTCAGAGTCTTCTCAGTGTGACACCAAAACCTTCCAGTCAGCCACAGAACACATGCCGAAAGCAGAAATGACAGAACTGTTCCTTCTGTTGCCCCCACAGCTGCCGTTGCTGTGGCCATGGGCATTTAGAAAACTTGAAAGTCAGCACTAAAGGATGGGTAGAGGTTCATCCTGCACCTCCACTTGGCTTCTGAAAGCCCATTATTAGACTTCTTGTAATGATTATTCCAACCCAGTTTCACATCTTTGGTTCAAAATGGCATGTCTCTCCAACAATTTAAGTGCCTGATACTAAGTCCAAAGTGTAAAAACATCTTCCTTTCCTCTCTTGCTGCTACTGTTGCTTTTGGAAGTGACCACAGGTCTGCACAAACCTATTGTGTAACTGTAGATACCCTCCCCCAACCTTTCTCAAGGGAGGAAATGTAGCCTTTGACCTCCTCATTTGTCCTCTTAAGAAAATCCACATTTGTTCACAATTGTTTGGTTTTACAGTGGAAAGTGGTGGGAAGGTCTGTGGTCCTGTGGCCTTGTACTGTCTACTGAAAGCTGCGCACAAGACAGCTATCTCCAAATTCACAGTGACGCTCAAGGGACAGTCCTGCTGAGGACCCAGCAGGTTGGCATCGCAGAGCACACTGATCAATCACTGGGACCCATGTCAGAGCAGAAAATTTGGGTTCGGTACATTGTTCATGTAGCAGAGAGACAGGGAAGGTTTCCTGGGTTGGGGGGTTTTGTTTTTTGTTTTGCTTTAGTAGGTTTTGTTTTGTTTAATCTCTGTGCAGTTTGCCTGAATGAATTGCTGTCCACATATGAGAAGCCAGGATTTGGAGGTGCCATCACTTTATCTGGCCCAAATACTTACCTGGATAATTCCTGCCATCCCTTATTTCCAGTTGCCTCTACTGGCTGATGGCAGTGTGCCGGCAGGAGCTGTAGTGCAGAGAGAGCCCTTTGCTCCTATTCCAGGGTTATCACATAGCTTTGCTGTTGCACCATCAATTTTTAAACTCTTTAAAAAAGAAGCAGCTATTTTTTGAAATTAAAAAAATGTTTCTCTATTCAGGAGTTCCCCTTGGACATATTCACATATATTAGTTTGTTGGCTGACTCAGGCACTTATCCTAATGATTAACTCTTTTTGTTAGTTTTCAAAAATCGGCCTCATTTACAATTTTATAGAATTACTGCCAAGACCTTTCTAATTAAGATGTTAGGATATTTGGGGTTCTAATTGTTAATCCCAGAAGAAAGTAATTTGGTTTGTATTTTTTAACTTTTTTAACCTTTTAATTATAATAGGTAGAATTTTGATGAATTATTTTAAGTAGACATGTTTCAGAACGAAATTTTTCTTCAGAATGACTTAAAATCAGATGTTACAAGTGATCCTAAGAACAGTGTGAAATTTGCATAAAGATAAATTTGAATGTTGTAGTCAAGTTTATATTAAATCAAAAGGCCCTTTCCAATACGATTTTTTAAAAACTTAGCGATCAGTAAGTCCCTAAGATACTATGCGCTGGGGCTTGAATCACTCCTATGGTGGGTAATGATTGGAAGTCCACATGGTCGCCTTCCATTGTCCACATAAGCCAGACTCTGTTTTTGCCACAGGCACTGTCGTCTAGAGATTTCCCTTCCTCCTGTGCTCCATTAAGTAAACGCAGAAGGACTCTTCAGACAGACTGCCCTGGGCAGCCTGCATGGCAGCGCTCAGAATTGCGAATGGCTGTGACTGGTTCTCCGAAACAGGCAGCTAGCACTGGGAAAGTCCGCGTGTTTTTTTCCCATGATTTTCAAGGTTATTCTTTTTTTGTGGTGGCATTTTATTATCAAGTAAGTTAAGAAAGCAGATCTTGCACGTTAGCTGACAAGAACCACACCAGTTTCTTGGAAAGATAACAGGTACACTGGGCTTCAGGAGTGACACAGTAGTCTAGCCCCAGGCTATGTGAGGACTCTGTATAAACGCTGAGCAGATGCCCCCCTTGCACCTGCCCCCCACCATGCCAGCTGGTCAGGGCTGCCTGTGAACTCCACGCCAGAGTCACTCCTGCTGGCTGCCCTCTTGCACATCCCAGTTCAGTTGACCCCTTCAGAGAATCCTCTTAGACACTCCTGACTCGCTGATGGTTGGTGTTTTCCAGGGTAGAATTCATCAGATTTCAGTTCTCCTACTCTAATTACAGGTTATATATGCATGATCAGTCTAGCCCCTCTTTGCATATAGAGCCCCTTTGGGGTCTGGCTTGAAGGAAGGAGACTTTGAAGGACCAGTGCGAGTGAAATAGCTGTCACCGAGGTGCCAGGAGTCCGACAGCGCTCCACGTCTGTGTGCGGCAGGGGGAATCAAAGGTAGTGAGCGGTTCACCTCAGGGCTCTGGTGTCCACATTGTGCTGGCCAAGCCCTGCACTGATGGTTGAGCCTCACAGGGTGGAGCATGTGTTGGAAAGTGATCCCTTTGGTAATTGATTTTGGATGGTGGAGAATGTTCTGAGAGCCTTGAGGTCCAGGTTGCAGTATTATCCTTCCTTCTGACCCCGGTGTATCAACTCTCTTTTGGTTGTATTCTCTGAAGGAAGGATTCATGTGTTCTGACCTCTTAGTCAGTCCTTATATGTTAACTGATATTCTCAGAAATCCAGGGTGGAGGTTTTTCTTCAAGCAATTTAATGAGTGAATTTGGCAGCAAAGTGGCCAAGAAATGTCTCTCCAGCCAGGCGAGGTCGTGTTCATTCTAATTGCCCAGATTCCCTGCCCACGACGGCAGGGCAGTCAGTGAGTGGTGCCGCTGGCCCCCGGCAGCGCCCTGGGCACCCAGTGTGTCCATGTCCTGTCAAGTGTACAAACAATCCTCTCATGTTTAGAAAAATTGAAAGGGCATTTTTGCACAGAGAAAAAGAAAAAACATGACTGTCATCTTTTATCTTTTGTTTTCAGTTGGCTGATGGAATTTTTGTTCTTGACATGCACTTGTAAACCAATCTCTGCCAAGATACAAGTTGTTTTGGTTTTTCACTATAATTACCTCTTGTTCCTCCTGTCTTGACTGCTGACGTTCCTCAATGATTCTAATGTCTATTTTATGGGAAGCAGCCTTCCCGTGGGTTTCCTTTTACACACTGCAGGGCTATCTTTATACTTAAAAAGAAATTTTTTTTTTAAAGAATATTGTCACTAACCTCATGGGGAATTTGCAGAAAACCATTTAGCCCACCTTGAGAAAAAGGTAGATTCCTCATTGTTTTCTTCAGCTCACTGTAATAAAAGAAATCTAATTCAGCATTATTGTGCTACCTCAAAGGTAAAAAATGTTAAGGTCTTGTTTCAGTCCTGAGTTCTATACATAGTGTTCGAAATGTCTTTCAGTTGGAATTTTTTTTAATCATTGGGAAGAATCTTACTTTAATCTGTTTTACACTTATGTTTTAATCTCAGAAGAATAAGTGATTAATTCTTGCTCTGTAGTATTGAACATATAATGAAATCACTGTTTGCCATAAACAAGGTTGGGTTTTTTAAAAGGAAACTCTAGGGCTTGGCTTCGCTTTTGGTTAATAAAGGCTGACAAATCATGTCCGACTGTCCGGTGCAGCCTTGTGTCATGTTTATCCTCTCATGTCGGGACTCCATGCCATCATATCACTCACTTGGCAGGCGCATGGTGGGGACTGGAGTGTGAGTTGTTCTTAGAAATTAGAGAGGAAGCCTGGCTATTAGTTAGGGCTCTCCAAAGAAACAGAACCAGTAGGGAGGTGTGTGTATGTAAAGAAATTTAGCAAAGAATTGGCTTCAGGGTGATGTGGCACGCTATAGATTCAGAAAAGCTAATGGTTTTAAGTCCAGTCTGAGTCTGAAGGCCTGAGACCCAAAAGAGCCAATACTGTGGTTCCTGTCCAAAGGCTGGTAGGCTCCAGATCCAGGAAGAGCCAATGTCCCAATTCAAAGGCAGTCAGACGATAAAATTCACTCTTACCTGGGAGAGAGTCAGACTTTTTGTACCATTCAAGCCGTCAGCTGATGGGACGAGGCCTGCCCACATTACGAGGGAAATCTGCTTTACTCAGTTTATTGGTTTAAAGGTTAACATCACCCATACAGAAACTCCCAAAATAATGTTTGATGAAATATCTGAGCACGCCGTGGCCCAGTCAAGTTGACACATAAAATTAACCACAACTTTGAGTTGGGGGATGGTGTGCAACAGCATCCAACATATCCTTTGCCAGGGAAGATACGCTCACCAGTGAAGTCCAGCAGAAATGATCTGTCTGACAGTATTGCTTATGTCATTTCCTTCTCTTGTAACAACCAGAAATAGTAATGACTCTGCGATACCCCACTGTTCCTGCAGTTTCAAGTGACCAGAGGGAGCTCATTCTAAATAAAAACATGTTCCGGTTTGATTTTGCCTTCACCTGGCAGTTACAAAGGGTCAGGTAATGAGTGAACATGCAAAATACACACATGGGGCTCAAGAAACTGGTCATTGAACCCCCAGAGCCAAATCAGCCTGTTTCAAAACCTTAAACCTTAAATATGGTTAAACATTTGTGTTTTTGGTGGTGGTATTGCCATAAACAGTTAAGAAATGCCAGGACAGCGTCAAGATCATATTGTCCACAGTCTCAGCCCTGAAGAGTAAGTGTCGCATGAGGACTTCGCTTTCTGTGTACATTGTAACAGGAAGCTAGCTAGCTATTTGTCCTATCGAAGTTACCTGATTATATCCTCAGCAGTCGTAGTGCATCAATTTTATAAGAACAGAATTAAAAAGTATTACTTATAATATGGTTAAGGAAACTGGGGTCGTTTAACAAGGCATTGCGTTAAGTATGAATTTTGCTTCCTTCACCCGCCCTCCCTGTCACAGATGGTGGCCAGCAATGCGTGCTGCTACCTGGTTGTGGGATATGCAGAGATAACCAGGGGTGTCCGACCTTTTGGTGTCTCCGGGCCACACTGGAAGAAGAAGAATTGTCGTGGGCCACACATTAAATACACAAATACTAACCAAAAAAAAAAAAAAAAATCTCATAATATCTTAAGTAAATTTACAATTTTGTGTTGGGCTGCATTCATAGCCATTGTGGGCCACGGTTGGACACCCCTGATGGTAGACTGTTAACCAGGAACATACTGAATAATCAGTTGTGAATTCAGGTAAGTATTATCCAAGTTCTGAACTAGAACGTCAGAAATTGGGCCTGACTCAGCTCATTTGTTTAGTGAACAAATCTTGATGACCTGCTGTGGACATTCCTGACACTGCATTTAAACCCCAGGCGTTAGCAGGACTAGTGGTACTGAGGTCCCCGTCCTGGACCTTGCCCCAGTGCTGAAGGAGAGCCTGTCCTCCATGTTTCTGGACTCACACAGACCTCAGCCCTGGTCTCCTATTTTAAGTGCCTTTTGTTGCCCTTGGTCATGCTGCTCTTCTGTATGTGGGCTGCCATTGCCTCTTGGTAAAGTGAGTGGCTTTTTTTCTTTTGTTACTGCAAATAAAGTTTTATTGACACAGCCACACTCAATTATTTACACAAGGGGGGACCCCCCCCAAAAAACAATTTTTTCCTGGAGGGTGGGCCCCTTGTAGTACAGGCTTCCCCCACTAGGTGAGTCTTTTAGGGACCCATCTGTATCAGTGCACCAGCTGGCATTGCTGTGAGAGGCTGCGTTCGGCTTCAGTGAAATTTTTTTTTAAGACTTCCAATGCATTTGCCCATTTCATGATGAGTGATCTACTGGTGCACCTGCCCATACCGTGCTGAGTTTTTGACCAAAAGCAGCATGACCCCCATGCCCCACCCTCCCTATTCACCCGATCTCAAAAAGCGGCATAAGCAATAAAAGACATCAAAATTGACAAGTTCAAAAGCTGCTTTGAGCAGTGGAAAAGAACATCTTGATAGGTGTATTGCATAAAATGAAGAGAACTTGGACAGTGACATTTAAACACGTAAGAATAAATACAGAAGTTTTTATAAATGAATTCTGGGTGTTCGGGGGGTTCCCCCCTAAATATTTTGTGATAGAGGTTGCATGGCCTGTGAAGCCTTTGTTGACGTCCGCCCTGAAGAGACTCAAGGTCCCCATCATGAGGACTAAGTGCCATCAGCTTGAAAAAGCAGTATTTGCCTCTGTGATTGACATGAGCACAAGCCCTTCACTGACAGTCATGAGTTACTCTGCCTTTGATAACACAGCCCTTTAAAAAAAAAAAAAAAAAAAGTTTTATTTCTTTTTAGAGAGGGGAAAGGGAGAGAAAGAGAGGGAGAGAAACATCTCACGGGCCCACAACTGGGGGTTGTAGGCCAGCACTCAGTCCTCTGAGCCACACCAGTCAGGGCGATGACAGAGCCCCTTAAAAGTGTGCAGGTTGTGTATTCTGCCATCGAATCAACCAAATCTTCAGCAGGATGAAGTTTTCTGGTAATTCAAATGTGTGTGTTCTTAGCAACCCCTCCCCAAAACATGGCAGCTAGCTATATGTTCCCTTTCACCTTCTTCCTCGGCTTCCTCCAACGCCATTGCTGTGATCAGGGTTGCAGTTGGCAGGCCCTAGGAAATGTTTTTCCAGCCCGGATACTTTGTGCGGGGCCGCTTCAAGTGAGTGGCTCGAACACACAAGCGTGCAACGTCCCTCGCTGCTCTAGCCTGCGTCACACAATTCTGGTTACACAAGCGTCGCAGGAGCTGTGAAAGGACTAGTTAAGATTTGAAGGGAACTTCCTCCAGGTAAGGACTCCTCAGAAATTGTCATTTTCATGCTAGTCATTCTAAACATCATGACGAAGTTTGGCCAGTGATGCCTTTCTGGCCTAGGTTTGCCTTCTTTGATGGTGTGTGCCAAGAATCAAAATATTCTTCAAGTGTCTTTTTTTTCATGTGATATTTCTACCCCTTCCTCTTTGATTTCTTCCCAACCAGAGTCATTGATCCTGTGGGCAGTTCCTTCTGTCCTTTAAAACCAGTTCTCTGGATTGTCTCTGAGTACACGGAGTGGAGCAGTGCCCAGCCAATTTGTAGGCTACAGGGCGACAAGGGCTCTAAAGGAGGTTGTCCAGGCTAGAGGATGAAATGAAAAGGGGACTGGGACACTAGGGAAGCCAGCAGGACTTGACCATTCCTCATCAATAGTCCATTCTGATAGGTACGAGACTAGGCATTTGAGCCCTGGTCAGGTGGCTCAGTTAGAGTGTCGTCCCATACACCAAAAGGGTGCAGGTTCGATCCCTGGTCAGGGTGCATACGCCAGTTGCAAGTTCAATCCCCAGTCAGGGTGTGTATGGGAGGCTACCGATCAATGTTTCTCTCTCTCCCCCGTTCCCTCTCTCTAAAATCAATAAACATATCCAAGGGTGAGGATGTAAATAAATAAATAAAAGAATGGGCATTTGAAACATACCAGCTAAAATTCCCATGGCCTTCTTGGCCACGGGCCCACCCACCCCCTCTCTGCAGAATTCCACTGAGCCAGGGGTCAAAAGTCACTGTGGATTCTGCTGGAAGCCAGGATCTGACAGTCATTCTGTCCAGTTGCTCCATGCCCAGAATGAGGAAGCAGGGGTGTGCAGTTGGGTTTTTTCCCTAATAAAAAGGTAAAAAGGAAGAGCTGAAGTTCAGACCCACCAGATATGCAAATCAGCACTTCCCAGCTAACATCCAAGCGTAGTTAAAGGGGATGCTTTTTGAAATTCTGAAAACAAAAGGCCTGGGCATGAAGGGACATGCACAGCACACATTCCTATGCCTGTCGTGACTCCAGTCCCGGCAGATAGAGGTGCACGGCACCTGAAGTTGAACTTGGGCCTGCAGAGCAGGTGGGAAGAGGCCTTTGGGGCAGATGTGTCAGTCCCTGGCAAGTCAGAACAGCTCATGAGCCACCTTGGACCCTGGTGTCCTGTCCTAGAGCTGTGCAGCTGGCATCAAGCACAGGGTAAGAAATGAGGCTCAGATGCCCCTAGGAACCAGCCTGGACCCCGGGCAAGGGGTTGTTCCTCCTAGCAGCTCTCGAAGCCAGTGTGTCTCCCCAACCCAGGTGGAGCTGGGGGTGGAGAGCATGTGACCTCCCTGCCCCGACCCTGAACTCCAGGCTGTCATTGTGGGTAAACACACCAAATACCCACACCTGCCCTGCCTCAGAATTCAAGACAGTTTCACCCAGCTGACAGTGTCCCCTGCCTGAGGGCTGCAGACAAGGGTAAGTTGGGGCCTTATCCAGGGCCTCTTTTTGGCTTGCTCCTCTGTAAACAAGAAGCCAGGTTTATGGGAGGGCACTACCCACCCCCACCCCCGGCCCTGCCCTTGGCTTTGGCCACTGGCATTGGGCCCAGCAGGATTTCAGCCCAGCGCCTCACCTGCCTGGGCTGGACCAAGGTCCAACTGCATACAGTAGGGGGCTCGGATCCAGTGGCTGGTGTGGTCGCTCTTCTTGTGCTCACTTCAGGCTGGGCATCTCTGGCTCACAGCAAAAGAGCCGCACTCCCTGATAGAGAGCTGGCCTCACAGCTGAAAGCCAGAGTGGGTTATCCTTATCCCTGGTAAATGGGTAAAGCTCATTTTATAACCCAGGGGCAAGGCTCGGCCTCCAGGAACTGGTTCCAGGGCCAGGTTTCCAACGTGCAGACAAAGGTACATTAAGAGTGCTGAGACCCGGGGGCTTTCCGGCACAATGGGGATTTCCCTTCCCAGAGTGCCCTGGGACTCTTCACTGCCTGATTGTGCCAGGAACAGGGTGTGCTTTGAGCCGCCTCCACCCTGGCCCTTAAAGATCCTTTTCTTGGTAACTGTCTTGCCTTTTGTTCTGAAAGAAAAAAAAATCTTAGGAATGATTTGTAGTCAGCCCCTCCTTGCGGGTGTGGACGGCAGGAGTTGGGGGGATATCCAGGGGCGCCCCTACCCTGTTGGGAACATCTTGTTCCCTACAGAGAACTGCACGTCCAACCGTTGAACGGGCCACTGGGTGCATGGGAGGACTCCAGGCCAGAGGGTGGGGTTGAGCAAGAACGGCCAACTCTATTTAAGGAACAGGCAGGAAAGGGGACATATGCGGAGAGATACAGATCTCAGACAACTGTACTCACCCCTGCACCCACCTCGCCCACCCCCACCTCCACACCAGGAGAGACGAGGTGCCACAGGGGAGCAACTGCTGCCTACAGGCATGACCCAGGCCTCCACGTGCTGGTCAGAGTCTTTCCTGCTCCACCCCCGGAGTCACTTTCACCCTGGCCCATTTCTGCCTGGGGCCGGTTACTTACATCCCTGAGGCCAGCTCTCTGCTCAGTACCCTCCTTCATCTTCAGGCCCCTGGCAGGGCTTGCTGCATGGCCCTCGGCCCTGTCCTCTAACCTCTGGCACCCGTGCCCCCCTCAACAATGGCCTCCCTCGCCAAGTTTTTGGAGAGTAAACAGAAACAATGGGCCAGAAACTCCAAGCTCCTCCTTTGCTCCCCACATCCTCTTGCGGCTCCGCCCCATTGTCTTCCCTTCATCGCAAAAGCCTTGGGACCCGCCTGCAGTTGCCTCCCACATCTCCGTGTCTCACCACAGCCCACCCTGCAGTTCCCAGGGACTTCCGCAGGCAGAGCCCTGCGCTCGCTGGCTCACTGGAGCCTCAGCCCAATTCACCATGGTGGATTGCAGCTTCACGGACGCCCTTCTCCGGAACGTCCCGTTCTCCGGGTTTTCTCCCCACCTCGGCTGCCAGCTTTAACCCAGGCTGTACTTAAATGTGGGCGTGGCCCAGGGTTCCACTCTGGGTTCTCCGGGCCCCTGTCCCCCTGCAGGGGCATCCAACCTTTTGGCATCTCTGGGCCACACTGGAAGAAGTGTAGTCTTGGGCCACACATTAAATATATAAACACTAATGAAAGCTGATGAGCAAAGGAGGGGTTTTAAATAAGTTTATAATTTCACGTTGGGCCGTATTTGTCGCCATCCCAGGCTACCTGTGGCCCGCGGTCGTGTCACGGGTTGGACACCCGGCTTAGAGATTCTGTCTGGGACAGTGTGGCTTTGGGTGTCATCCCCCTGCTGCTCGCTGCCTCTGGGACACTACACCGAGTTTAATGTCCAGTCCTCCCTCGTCCCTTTCCCATCTCTATATTCCACTCTCTGGGAACCTTCTGCAGAGTTTGCTTTTCTTTCCTTTTTTTTATTAAAAAAATTTTTAAACTGTGGAATATTATACAGAAAGGTGCATAAAACAGGCATTCTACTCAACGATGTCTCAAAGGTCAAACACAAAACGACTCGCAGAAAGCACGCACTGTCAGTGCCCCACGGTCTCCAGCCTTCCTCCCTGCTCTGTCCCATGTTCCGGTCGGGCGCTCAGGACCCCCTTGGTTTACTTCATCGTTCCTCACCTGAACGTGCCTCTCTGAAAAATCACTGTCTTCCTGCAGTTAGACATTCATCATTAAACGCCTAAGGGGGAACTCATGCCAACTGCTGGGTGTAAGCACAGTCGTTGATCTTTTTCTCTTTTGCTTTCTCCACCTATTCCTTCTCTCACCATCATTTTCTGGAAGCCATGGTTACAAGGTATAGGTTCCCTATGTTTCTCCTTGCTTCTGTAGTCATGGAAACGTGCATATAATTACACAGTGGTTTGTCTTTGTTGTATACACTTAGATCATTTTATACGCACTTTTCGGCATTTAATTTTTCTCATCCCAACTTTGTGGCAGGCTCTCCAAATCAAGTGCTATTATTCCAATTTCTTCTTTTTGATGGTGACATAAGACCTGTCCACACATTTGTTGATATTTCTCCCACAGAAGGTGGGATCTAATTTCCCTTTCCTTAGATATAACCTGGACTTAGTGACTTTGTTTCTAATGAATAGAATGAGGCAGAAATAGCACCTGGGCCCTGGCTGGTGTGGCTCAGTGGATTGAGCGCTGGCCTGCGAACCAAAGAGTCATTGGTTCAATTCCCAGTGTAGAGCACATGGCTGGGTTGTGGGCCAGGTCCCCAGTGGGGGGGTGCGTGAGATGCAACCACACATCGATGTTTCTCTCCCTCTCTTTCTCCCTCCCTTCCCTTCTCTAAAAATATATAAATAAAATCTTAAAAAAAAAATCTAAAAAAAAAATAAAGAACACTGGGACTTCTGAGTCTAGGTGAGAAAGGTAATACAGCTTCCATTCGGCTTCCTCCCTCTCTTGGGAGAATCACCCTTGGAAGCTTGCCACCACATTGTAAGGGTACATGAAGTGGCCACATGTGGGTGTTCAGCCCCAGCTAAAGTCTCAGCTGACAGCCAGCATCCAATGCTGGACTTAAGTGAGGAGACTTCAGATGACTCCACCCCCAGCTTTCAGGCTGTTCAGGCGGAAGCAGCAGAGAAGAGCAGCCCCTACTGAGCCCTGCCCAAAGACAGGGTCAGGTGCGGAATAAATGTTAATCTTTTAAGCCACCAAATTTAGGTAATTTGTCACACAGCATAGTAACCCAAACAGTAGGAAAGTAACCAAAATGTCTCCAACTATGTCCTTTTGGATGGAGTCATTTTTTCACCACAGCACATGACATAGCAATAAATATCCCTGACCATTTAGTTCACATGTTGTGTCCATTCGTGCCATGTACCAGGTGTCTAGGCTAGGTCAGCCCTTGGCGAGCACCCACGGAAAGAATGGAAAAGTGAATTAATGCTCGGGCTGCTCCAGGAAGACCCTGCCCTGCCCAGCCCGCACCCACACATAGGAGCTCTGGAATGGGAGGTCGCATGGGGGCAGGGAGTGAGGCAGTGCCCGTCTGCACGGTCTGCATGACTGGCACCTTTGGGGCTTCTATTCTGTGTTTGCAGCATCTGCTGCAGGCCCTGAAGCCACACATGGGGAACAGGAGCAGGAGCTGAGCTAGGCCTCCTGGCACTGCTGCTGCTTGTTGGAGGGCCTCTCGGGCCAGACCCAGGGCTAGCCCAGATCTGGGGCACCCTTGCCTTGCCCCCACCTCCTGCTGCCCCATTTTAAATTTTTTCCATAATACTTGTCACTCAACACCACATGGCATTATTTTTATTCAGTCAGCAGGTATTTCTGGAACTTACATGGTGTTTGAGGTGCTCAGGATACATTCATGAACAATACAAAGGGATTTGCACCTCACAGAGCTCATATTCTAGTGGAGGAGGCCAGGCAATGTTGTATAAAGATGATAAATACCCTTATGAACCAGTGGTGACAGCTATGAAAAAAAGGAGAGCAGGATAAGGGGCCAAAGGTGATCCCAAATGCAGGGGCGCTGAAAGGTGCAGGTTGCAGTCTTAAATGAGGGGCTCTGCAGGCATTGGGGTGCAGTCCTGTGGAAATCCATGGAAAGTGCATTCCAGGTACAGGGAATAACTGGATCCCAGTCCCTGAGCCAGGGGAGTGTTCAGGGTGTAATATGGAGAAACTCTGGGAGACTGAGCAGCGAGGCTGGAGGCGAACAGAGGAGATGTGGTCAGAGAGGTAATGAGGAATCATGAGGCCCTGCCAGCTCTGGCTTCTCTTTGGGGAGGTGCTACTGCAGGGTTCTGAGCAGGGGATGAGGGGTTCTGACTTAGGCATTTACAGACTGATTTGTGGAGAACAGACTGAAGATGGCAAAGGCAGCAGCAAAGAGACTGGGAGGTGGCTGTGACATTGCCCTGGGCAGAGGTGGTAGTGGCGTGGACTGGATGGAAGCCAGGGACCTGCTCTTGTTCTGGGGAGATGATGCAAAGGAAGAAACGGGACTACCTGGTAAGTGAGAAAGAAAGTAGTTAGAAAGTATCCTGGGGCATTTAGCCTGAGCCGTAGGAAGGGTTAAGCTGCTCTCACTTGAGCTGGGCGAGATGGGGTGCAGTGGGCTTGGGGAATGAACCAGAACTGGGATGGCACAAGCTGAGCTTGAGATGCTAAGTGGAAGTCAAAGTGCAGATGCCTAGTCGACAGCTAGACATTGAATCTAGCACTCAGGGAAGGATCTGAACTGGACAGACACCTCTAGGAGTGATCAACCTGTAGATAGAATTTAAAGCCATGAACCTGGATGAGACTATGAAGGATATAGTGTAGACAGAGAAGAGGTGAAGAGGAGGAGGCAGTGAGGTCAGAGGAAAACCAGGAGGGCATGGGGACCTGGAAGCCACACAGCAAAGGTGCTTCCAGGAGAGATCAGCTGGTCACAGGACCTGTCTTTCCTCTCTGCCCTCATTGGGACGGCTTTTTTTAAAGAAAAAAAAAAAGAAAGAAAGAAAAAACTCTTTTTGTTCACTGCTATATTCCCAGCACAGAGCATTTATGCTCAATAAGTATTTGTTGAATGAATTAGTATGTGCTTGAATCCACACCACTGAGAATCCCCAGCATACAGGGCTGCAACTGACAATGGCCTCCTTTACAGAAAGAGGAGAGATCAGGTAGGAGGCTCTGCCCATTCTCAGTAGCAGCAACCTCCTCCCTTGCCTTTCCCAGCTACACTGACATTCATTCAGGTGGGAGCCCTACCGGCCAACCCAGGACCCAGGACAAATGAACCTCAGACAAACCCTGCAATGCCGAGCTTGGTGGGACCTGGGTTGGCCACTGAGTCATCCACCAGTCACAAAAAACTCTACAGCCATTCCTTTGTCCATCCCTCTATATTTAGTTATTTGTCCACCCATCTACATCCAATCATCTGTGCACCGCAAATATCCATACACTCCTTTATCCACCGTCTACAGCCACT